TAGAAATTGTTGTATTTACCTTTATCAATTGAAACTGTATCTATTTTTGAATTTGATAAAATTTAATTTTTAACAAATAAAAATGAGTATAATTAACATTATGTATTACCTTCTAATAAGGAAGCTTTTTTAACATCTGAAACTAACTCTAATATAAATTTATGAAAAAAAAGATTAGAATATTATAAAATTGTCAAATTAATTAATTTTAATTATACAAAGCTTCATATCTTTTATTCTTTTCTTGTTTGGTGAAAATATTTTTTAGTTTTTTTATTACACTATTACCTTTATAATTATTATTAAACATTTTTATAATTGATAATAAAAAATAAGTTCTTAAAAAAAAAATTAATTTTTAATCAAATTACTTGTATAATGATAACAGTAGATTTTATCATTTGTATATATATACTAGAAATAATTATAGTATTAAAGAATCTGTATTATGATAAGAAAATTGAGTTTTTAGGCGATTCATATAACTTCAATAACTGGTTATTTTTATATACCTTATTTTACTTAATACTAATACTAAAACTGACAATAACATTAATACTAAGAGATAGAGGATAAGGAAAAGGTAAAGGTAGAATAGGAATCTACCTTATTATTTTTTTTTAATAAAAAAAAAGAATTAGATCTGCTGCGATAGCACAGCCAGATGTATAATAAAATTGTTTTTTTTATTGTTATTTTTTTCTACTATTATGCATATTGTTGATTATAAGTTAAGTAATTAAATAATTATTGATAAATAATTTCAATTTTTGATTTTATAGGTTAAATCAATAGATTACCACTTTGGCTTATTGCAAAGGCACAGTCAAATATGTTATATTGTCTATTTTATTGTTAATTAATATTTTTTCAATTTTATAAGTTAGGGCCTTTTAGACGAATGTGAACGTAACACTTCAGATGGATCCTTCAGCTTATTATAATGATAATTTAATAAAGAATATATTACAACTAAAGTAATATAATAACTATAACTAGCGATGACATAGTCACCATACAACAACCTAATCTAGTTAGTAATTAATAAAAATAACTAATGGTGATAATTTAAATCAGAAAAATTTTTTAGATAAAGAATAATTTTTTTGGTTAATTTTAAATTTATTTAAAAATAATTATCATCGCATTTAATAAATTTTTGAAATTTTATTTTTAAAATAAGATGTTTTTAAATTATTGATATTTTGTGTAATAAATTAAGTATTTGAAGTCTCTAAATAATTGCATCTCTAGTTGTCTTGATAAATATAAATTTTATAATCTTTTTTAGGCGGTATTTTAGTTGCATTTTGCACAAGTATTTTTTTTTGTCATAACTGCTCTAGTGCTTATTGATAGAAAATTATAATGTTTTACCAAATTCGTCAGAATATTTATTTCACTTCCAGTTTAATTTGGTTAAATAAATTCTTAAAATTTTTTTTGATTTTTTATTACTGTCATGCTAAATATTAGATGTTAAATAGATGCGAATAATATCATTGCAGAATTTGTAGATACTGTATATTTAAAAAGAAGACTAACAAATACTTAGATGAAAATGGTTATAATGTTCATTAATGCAAGTATAACATAAAAAAGTTTAGAGATTATTTTATGTGTTTTTACTTCAACAAGAAGATGTCATTAAATATTCAACATCAGTAAATATTTATAAAAGGTTATTTGAAATAAAGTATGTTGGAAAATATTTTAATGAATAGTCGCAATATGTAAATGATGAATAAATTTATTTTTATTTATCAATTATTTCTGATTATCTATAAGTTTTTTATTTGTGACTAGTGTTTTGAAAGAATCGAATTGAATCATATTTGAGGATGTACTTAGACTCGACCTATTTATAAAAACCAACCTGTATAAATATTCAGATTAATATTTATAAAACTTGATTCTGACCTGACCTGTTATAGTTTGATCTTCAGATAACCCAGGTCAAATAAAATTTTTAACAATTTATTTATGATCAGCAAGACAATAGTATATGTATATCATACAACTTTTACAAAAAAAGATTTTAATTAAGTTTTATTTAAATTTTTATAATAAAATTATAAAATATATTCAAATTAAATCCTCTTTACTTCCACCATAACTTCAAACACATACAGGTGCAAATTGTATTTTTTTTTGAGATTGCTTCTTTTTGCTATTATCAAATCAGTTCTGCCAGAAAAAATCCGTTCTACTAGAACACTTATAGCTAAATTAAAAATCATTTATTAATTAATATTTAGTAATATTTAAATAAATAAATTTTTTTACTTGCAATTGCAAGATAATCTCTTGCCATTACTGCTAGATATGAATACTTTACTTCATTTAACTATATATGTTTATTAATGAATTAGTAAAATTAAATCAAATAAAATATATTAATTATTTTTAAATATATATCTTTTACCACAATAAAACATCTTAATTTCGATCTGCTTAAGGATTTTTTAAATACATTTCTATTTCATTTTGTTGATGATTATTCTTTTTACTAAAAATGTGATCTAAGAATTTATTATTATTATTATTATTAGCAACTTCTTCATTAGTATTACTAGGTGCATAATTAGTATTATAAACATTAAGAACTGTTTCTTTTGCATATTGAATAAAATTTTGTTTCCATTTATTATCTTCATAGTAACTTAACTTAAATTGTAAATCAAACATTATAAAATTATCTATATTATTATTCAGTTTGTAAAAAAATTATACTATTTTATATTTATTACTAGTAGTAATTGTATATATAGTAGTTTCATCAGATTTTTCATAATATAACTCAAGTTTCTTTAATCCTACTTTAATAGTAATTACTATATCATTATAACTATCTAAATTTTCACAATATACTTCAAGTTTATCCATTAAATAATTATATATTGGTATGAAAGAAGAAAGTATAGGATATTTTGCAGATGAAAGTATTTTAATAGTTTGTACAAATATCTATTTAATATAAAATAAAATTTTTTTAATTAATTATAAGGATTAAATTTATTAAAAAACTTATTTTTATTTATCAACTTTCTTACTTTCAAAACAGAAATAATTTCTTTTATTTTATTTCATTCATCATCAGTAATTTCAAAATTTCTGAGATCTTTATTTGAATTTGCCATTGCATTTATTGCCTATAATATAAAAAAAATTATTATATTAATATAATAAAAAAGCAAATGTATAATATAATAAATACTCTAACCTCTTGCATTACAAATACACAATTAAGCATATCAAATGTAAAGTTCCATAATATTCTAACATCTAAGATAAGGTTAAACTCTTTAAAATTAGCAGCTTCAGCATGACGTGCAAACTTTTCTTTGCATTATAGTGATGATTTTATTTTTACTATAAGCTTATGAAGCTAATTATAATATAAAATTAATATTATAATAATTTAAAATTTAAAGAAATATGAAAATTAACCTACTTTAGGAATTATTTCTCTAGCATTTATAGTTAAATTCATATTATTCATGATATTATCTTCAATTTGTGCTTCACCAGCTTTAACTTGTTCTAAGATTTCTTGTATAACTAAATTTATTATATGAGCAAGGCATCGACAATGGGAATTAATAGCATCAAAGAAAATATTTTCCATTTGACAAGTATTTTCTAAACATTCCATAAAGGTAATATTATTTGAAGCATTATCACTAGTAACTGCAAAAATCTGTTAAAGTTATAATGATTTTATTAGTTATATTTCAAGTTTGTATAAATATAAAAATGAAACAATTAAAAAAAAAATAAGAGTTAAATAAATAAAATAATTAAAAAAATTAAAAAAAAATAAAAATAAAAATAAAATAAAAAAAATAAAAAAAATGAAGTAAAAAACAAAATAAAAAATAAACAAAAATTAAAAAATAAAATAAAAATAAAAATAAAAAATTTAAAAAAAAAATAAAAAAATATTTATTTACCTTTTCTAAAATTCCAAACTCATGACAACTTTTACGAAAGCATTACAGAGATTTTCACTTGAATGAGGACCAGAAAGATCTATAAAATCTAGCAATTTATCCTGAAGCCTTCAATCTTAGTAATTCAGTGTATTGTTATAGCTAAAAAGGAATAACTATTCATTGATGTTCATGAATCAATTGCAAAAAAAATTCTCCCAAGTGCACTCTATTAAATAGATAAATTGTTTTTTTAAAAAAAAAATTTATACATATATTTAAATTAACTGAAACAATTTACTCATTTTTTTGTTTCACTTTAAAACTTTCTAATATATTATTTTTATTGTATCTGCTGATAGGACCAGTGCATTTGAATTTAATATTTTTATCATCTTTCGAAAATATTTATTTTCTAATGTTATAAATGGTTGATCATCATCGATCACCCATTTAGTAATGAACTCGCGAAAACTAGTGCTTCGAAAGGGTCAGGTCAGACCCGGGTGATCGACCTGACCGAATTTTAAATCGAGTCAGGGTTGGTAATTTTAATGACCTGTAACCTGCATGACCCGACCCGTCAGGTTAGGGTCGTACTGTTGCTTTGACCCAGAATAACCTAGGTGACCCGAGATGACGTTATGATGATGTAATGCATATTTTTTTTCCACACGAAAAGTTTTTTACGCTAAATTTTAGTTTCGTTTGTCACGTATTTTTCCCACACAAAAAAGTTTTTTTTTTACGCGCTAAATTTTAGCTTTGTTTGTGGCTTATATATATGAAAA